AGGGACTCTGTCCATTTCACAGACAGCAAACTGTGGCCTGGGAAAGCACTGGTCCCCATAAAAACTGGGCCTGTGGAAGATTTAGGAGAGGGAGCGAGATGTTGGAAGAGTGGTGGAGTAGCCCTTCCCTGTCTCTGCCCCACCTCTTATCCCCCTGTGATCTCCATCCTCTGACAACAGGAGAACTCAGTGCAGCCAGGGAAGAGGCCACTGTCTTTCCTGCTGCCCACTGTGGTCCGGCCGGCGGAAGGGCTCTGTGGGACCTACCTTGCCCTAGGGGCCAATGGAGCTGCCCGGGGCCTCAGTGGCCTGACCCAGGTGAGGTTTCCCCCGTGATAGGCCTTTTGTGGCCAAGAGCCAAGCTGTGACCTGGGCTACAAATGCCCCTTTTGTCTTTGGCTTGTCCTCATCTCTCACTCATGCAGCAAACATGGGCTGAGGCTGCTTTGTGCCAGACCCATCCTGAGCCCTGCAGACATGGACTACATTGTTCTTAGCAAAAATGGAGCCCTGAAATTCCATGTCTTCCCAGGTTGCAGGGGAAATCATGGGGCCGGTAGAATTGAAAGGTGATACAGTATCTGGGCCATCTGGGTTCTGTCAACCTTAAGTTCCATCATACCACTAGTCAATATCTGAATATCAAGCAGCCATCTTTAGGGTCTGATTTTGAAAGGAAAGGCCTGCTACCTTCTAAAACACCTCACAGCAGTTCCACAAATGTCTTGAGCATCTGATATATGTGCCTGGCATATACGTTGGCAGGCGGTGAGTTAACAAATCTGAACTTTGGAATCAGAAACCCATGTGTCCCAGCCTAAATGCTGCCAATTTCCAACTGCGTAGTGTTAGGGAATTCACTTATTGTCACTGAACCTCATCTCCTCATCTGTAGAATGGATATAATAACAAATATCTAACATTTATGGAGCTTTTTCTAAGTGCCAAGCTATTGTGTTACATGTATTAATCCTCTAATCTTCCCAACTTTGGGACGAATCCTTACCTCTATTTCACAGAACAGGACACTGAGGCCCAGAGAGGTTAAGAAGTTAGGTTCAGTTTAATAAGAATGAGCAAGCAGTTTGATTCCAGAGCCTACCCACACTTTTAAACACTAAACTAAAAGTAACCACATTGTGCCCTAGACCATGCCCAGCTATTAACCCTTTCCTGGCCAAGAAGAAAGGAAGGAGAACCTTGGGTTATATTAAAGGAGACTGGGTGTTAGTGATGCCTCTTTCCTGACTCTCCAAACTCTGCAATGAATCACTTTTCTTCCCTGGCTCTTGGTTTCCCCTCTGTGAAGTGGAGACAGTCATCAAAGGCCTGCCTGTCTTCTGGGGCTGTTGAGAGACCCAGATGACACCCCTGGTATAAGTGTTCTAAAGACTAAGGAGTCTGGACCAAGGACAAGGGCTATGGAGTCCTGAGCCCAGACCTCTGGGACATCTCTGACTTCTGCCCCTTGGCTGCCTGCAGGTTCTGCTGAATGTCCTGACCTTGAACCGGAACCTGAGTGACAGCCTGGCCCGTGGCCGCCTGCACCCGGACCTGCAGTCCAACCTCCTGCAGGTGGACAGTGAGTGCAGAGCAGAGATCCCCATGGGGTGGGCTCAGGGCTGGGTGGAGAAAGGGGCTCCTCCCAAGGGTGGCCCAGCTTTGACCACCTTCCTGCCAGTGAAAGTTTGGTTTCTTTGAACCAACTCCTAGTGGAACAGTGAAAGCTCTGGGGATCAGAACCAGTCCTGCCATTTCCTGGCTGTGGTCTTGGGAAACTCATGTCTTCACGCTGAGCCTTGGTTTTCTCATTTGTAAAATAAGATATAGTTGTTCATTTTGCAAATCATTCATTCAGCTGTTTGCATTGAATACCTACTGTGTGCCAGGCATTATCCTAGGTGCTGGGCATACTGTATCTATAGGCAGACAAGAGAATAAATAATCAAAGAAATGTGAGAAAGAAAAATAAATGCTCTGTAGAGCATCAAAGCAGGATGATGTATATGACTAACTCAACGACTGGGGAAGGCTTCTTTGGTGACATTTAAGCTGAGATCTGAAGAGTGAGAAGAGCCTATCATGGAAAGACATTGGGCAAGCTTTGTAGGCCAAGGAAACAAATGCAAAGAACTCATGGCCGGAATGGGTTTGGTAGAAAGGAGATCAGGGTGTGTGAGGGTGAGATAAGGTCAGAGAAGATCATGATCCTAATAGATTATGGTGAAGAGATGAACTTTCCTCTAAGAAGGGCAGGTGCTTAATTTTGAACACAGCATAATTTCATAACTGAGAAGGTATGTGTACCTTTGAGGAGTTTTTATTACAACAGGCAATGTACTATGCTAGTCCAAAGGCGATACAGAATTGAATGAGACATGGTCCTTGCTTGTTCAGTATCCCCATTTTATAGATAAAGAAACTGCTCATGGAGGTTATAAACTAGCTGAAGATCAACCAGTAAATGGCAGAATTGAGATCAGACATACACCTGGCTGATATCAAAGACTCAGTTCTTTACTGCTTGACTCTTGGTGTCTCCTAGATTGAAGCATGTTAGAAGCCACAGACCTAGACCCTCAGCAGTCATACCATGTTATTGGCTGGTGATACTTTCGATCCCAGCTGGAAGATGAGGCTAAGTCCTTGAAAATGAATTTTGTTCAACTAATATCTTCTGGTCTCTATCAAATGTAAGGCTCTGTGCTAAGTTGCTGTGAAGGTGGGAGGTGCTCATCCTAGCCCTCCTTTGAGGGGCACAAGTCTAAGACAGGAGTATGAGGAGTGGAGGTTTGGTGAAGGGAAAGTTCACCCACCTGAGGGCTCTGGGAGGCTTTATGGAAGAGGTGACAACTGGCTGGACCTTGGCATATTAGCAGGAATTTGGTGTGTGAAGGTAAAGAACATTCTGGATAGGGGGAACAGCCTGGACAAACCCAGAAAGAATGGCTCAGAGAGTAGCCAGGAGGGCAGCTGGACTAGAGACATTATTTCCCAAACTTCAGAATTTATCCAGAACCTTCAGGACCTCTGCCACATGTGCACACCATCAAACCATTATTTACATAATGTGTGTCTATAAGTGGATTTCCTTTTTAACCTAAATGTATTTTAAAAGTAAAACTTATAATCACAAATGAAAAAATAGCATAATTTCCCACAAATAGATGATAAGCAGCTACAAAAACTCAAATGTTTTTAGGTTTTAATTAGATGTTTTTGCCCACAGAAGGCACTGAGGTCTACTCTCTCTTTTTTAGAAGATTAGAAATGTTAGAGACCAGCCTGTAATTTAGTCCTTTCTATTACTGGAAGGATTGAAAGTGAACCACAAAGGGAATACATTTGCAGCTCAGTGATTTAATGCTATTCAATATTGTGTCTTTATCTCTAGAACTACTTTTAATCATCCCATTTGCAGAAATAAGAAGATCAGATTTTTGTTGAGCAGTGGGAGGTGAGGTTACAGGGCTTATCATGGAGGTTCCATGTTAAGAAGTATGGACTTTATCCAGTTGAGTGGGGAAGGAATATGACCTGATTTGTTTTATGGAGGGGAGGTGGGCTGAAGGAAGGAGAACTTAAGTCAGGAAAACATAAGAAATAGCCAAGATGATGGCCCAGGCAAAAGATGATGAGGACCTAAACTTATGTAAGAGGGTAGGGATTTGTTCATTTATCCAGTAAATGCTTGTTTACTATTTACCGTGTCCTCACCCTATTCTAGGCCCTGGGGCTCAAGAGTAAACAAGTCAACATTCGTGCCTTAAAAAAAAAACACCTATGATCTAGTGGAGAGAGACACAGTAAACAAACAAAATACTGGTAGCAGTAAGTACTTTGAAAAAAAATAAAGTAAGGAAAAGGTGAAAGGGTTCTGCTATTTCAGATGGTGGTCAGGGAAATTCTTGAAGACTGGAATGGAGTAAGGGAGCCAGTTTTGTGACCATCTAGTAGGAGAGCATTCCAGGCAGCGAGAACAGCAAGTGCAAAGGCCCTGAGGTAGGGGCATGTTTGGTCTGCTTAAGGGACAGGAAGGTGACTAGAGCAGAGTTAAGCAAGGGAGAGAGTGGAGGGAAGTGAGGAGAGAGGAGTTGAGAGAGTTGCAAGGTCCCAGGTAATGTTGGACCTTAGAGGCTTTGGTAAGGACTTTGGATTTTATTCTAAGAGTCATCAAAGTTGTTGGAAGGTTTTGAGCAGGGAAAGCAACGTGGTCGACTAGTGGTTTAAAAAGATCCCTTTGATTGCGATGTGAATAGGTTGTAATGAAGCAGGACTGGAAACTGAAAGAGCAGTTAGTGGGCTGTGCAGTAATCCTGACAAGCAATAATGGCAGCTTGACCTTGGAAGGTGAAATGAAGACCCCAAAGCCAAGTCCTTTGTCCAATATAAAGAATGATTGTATATTATTGATCACTTACCGTATGCAAGGCTCTGAGTTCTGTGCTTTTTGTTTATTATCTCCTTTAATCCCTGCAGCAATTTCATGTGGTAAGTTCTCAGATAATCCTCATTTTATGCATGAGCAGACTGAGGCTCAGAGAGGTAGAGCAATTTGCCCAAGGTCGTATAGCTCCTCAGTAGACCATCCAGGACTAGGACCCACTTCTGATAGTCAGACTCCTGAGCCTGTGCTCTGAACTCTCTGAATGTGTGTATGTTGGGGGATGGTTTTCAGGTGAGTTCACAGAGGAAGAGATTGAGTTCCTGGAAGCCAGGGGTCACCACGTGGAGAAGGTAGATGTCTTATCCTGGGTCCATGGCAGCCGGAGAACCAATAACTTCATCATCGGTGTGAAGGACCCTCGGAGCCCAGATGCAGCCGGAGCTACCATCCTGTAGAGCTGCAGGGTGGGGTGGGAGTCTCTGCTCCCCACCTTTGCATGTTCCTAGAGTCCCTCCTTCTCCCAGATTTGGTCTCAGAGGGACCCTGGGGATGCCCCAGATCAGCGGCCAGAGGGGATGCTTAGCAAACCCTATCCCAGAGTAATAGGAAATTCTCTATCTTGAGGCCTGTGGTGGTGGTAGTAAGAGTCACTGTCCACAACCAGGCAGGCAGGACCTTGAGGAGTCAGACTACCTGTCTGTCTGTCTCCTTTCCCTCAGCCATGCTGGCCCTGAGCTTAGGGATGTGCTTGCAAATCCTTCTCAAGGGTCCTCATCACCTCAACATCTCCAGGTGGACCTGACCTGGGCCTTGTCTTCCAGCTCTCTTCTCCTGTCCCCAGCCTCATTTCTTAAATGACTAGGATTTTTTTTTAATGGACCATCCTAGGGAGGGGGTTCTCCTCCCCTCCCACCACCAGGTTGAGGTGGGGGCCTTATATCTGGGGGGCCCCAGGGTATGGGGTAATGGTTGGGGGTGGTGGGGACCAGCTCAGGGGCTTCCATCTGCAAAGGGGAATTAAAGAAAGAATATTGCTTAACCATGGCTCTGACTTAATTTATATTTGACTGTATTAGGTGTGGGAGTGAGAGAGGAGAACTTGGCTTACTCTGTCCCAAGCTGGAGTCAACTTTGTGGGGGGTCATAACAATATCTACCATCTATGTGAGACTTACACTAACAAAAATAATTAATAACAATAATTATAATTATAGATAGACTCTATTGAACACTTAATGTGTGTCAGGCTCTATGTTAAATGCTTTATGTGGATAATCTCAATTACATTATAAAATCTTCATTACAAACCTCATGAGGTAGTACTAATATTATTCCCATTGTACAGATGGGAAACTAGCAAAAAGAGGTTAAAGGACTTGTCTAATGTTCCTCTTGTAGTAAATGAAAGAACTGGGATTCAATCTCAGGTTGTTCAACTCCTAATGTGTGCTCTTAACCATCTGCACAACTATTAGGTAAACTGTTATAAAGTATATTTTATACAGTATATATCAGACAAAAAGTACATTTTATAGATTATGTCATTCATGCATGCATGTATCTATTCGTTATATTATAGACACTTTGTTAGGCACTGGAGATTCAGAATTGAACAAGACAATTTTTATGAATTTGCAGTCTGCAGGGGGAGTCAAATATTAAAGCAGTAAGGACACAGATAATTAGAGTAATTGCCAACAGGATAAGCTCTTGGAGGAATGCGGCAAGAATGTATAACAGGAAAGTTAATCTAGTTCAGTAGTGGGGTGGAATCAGCGAAGGCTTCCCCAAGGAAATGATGAGCATGAGTAGGATTGACAGGAAAGGATTCGGTGTGGGAAGCAGGAATGTCATTTTAGGCAAAGGGAACAGTATGTACAAAGGGCTCATGAGGAGGTAGAAGAATGCCAGTGTATTCTTCCAGTCAACAAACTTTTTCTGCAAAGGGCCAGAAATGAATATTTCAATCTTTTAAGCCGTATGGTCCTAGTAGTAACAACTCAGTTTTGCTATTGTAGAGCAAAAGCAGGCATAGATGATATGTAAATGAATGGGTGTGGCTGTATTCCCATAAAACTTTATTTTACAAAAAACAGGGCCCAATTTGGCCTAAGGGCTGTAGTTTGCTGACCCCTATTCTAGAGCATATGGAGGATAAGGATATGAGATGACGCTGATGAGGTAGGTACAACACTTTTCTGAGGCTGATACTAATTTCCCCATTTTATGGATCTGGAAAATGTAGTTCAGAGACATGCAGTAACTTGCCCAAGGCCACCCAGCTGACAGTTGGCAGATCTATGATATAAAAGCAGTCTGTTTGACTCCAAAGATCATATCCCTCTCTTCTTAAAAAAACCACAAACTTTATTATGTTATCTGATTTCAGATGTAACAGTTATTCAAATATCAAACATTTCATAAGTATATGGATGATCTATTCCCTCAAAATCTCAACTTTCCAAAAATCTCATATCAATAATTTAGTACATATCCCTCTAACTACTTTTTTTCTGTAGATATGTTCTATTTAAAAGTAAAAATGGGATTATATTATTTACAGTGTCTATGACTTCCTTTTTTTTATTTACCAATATAGCATGGGTATTTTTCTATGTCAATATCAAGATATATGGATTTACCTAATTATTTATAATTATGCATCATAGTTTATTAAATAGTTTAACCAGTTTCCTATTGATGGCTGTGATTGGGTGGTTTCCAGTGCAGCTTTGAACATCCTTGCCCTGATAGCTTCAGGGTGCTTAAATCACACCTGTGGTCATACCAATTCTCCCAGGCTATCTTTCAAGTGACAGTTACAGGACCTTCTATACAGCAGGCTTTTGGGGGTTACATAGGTGTCTTAGAGTCATTTTGTTTCATAAATATACAAATAATGACAGCTTTGAATAAAAGATTTGTTCAGGAGAATACTTTCTTATATATCAAAACAAAATTCTGATATCTTGGAAAATGTTTTATCACCCAGTATATGAAATGTTTTATTTTATTCCACAAATATTTCCTTTAGTGCCTACTCTGTGCCGTGCACTGCCTGAGGCACTGGGAACGCTGACAAACAAGACAGACAAGGTCCTTGCCTGTCTGGACTTTGTATCTTTTAATAATTTTTACTTTATTCAGATTGTACTATTTTGATCTATCATAGAAAACATAAATTTACCTCATATTGAGAACCTAACTTTAGCTGACTATGAAATAAAGAGATAAGAAGCTTGGAAATTTAGGGAATTTTTATGATACTCTCTCAGGCCTCACATAACTCCAGGATATAACTATTTGCTTCTTAAATTGAGTATTTTGGGTACTTCCTTCATATCTTGGTTAAGGTATCAAGCTTCCTGATTTCAAAACTTACTACAGGTACATACATCTATCAAAATTCATCAAATTGTACATCTGAAATATGTGTAGTTTACTCTACAGGAATCATACCACAATAAAGGTGTTTAGAAAAACTTACTACAAAGTTACAGTAATTAAAACAGTGTGCTAGTGGCATGAGAATGAACATATTAATGGAGTAGAATTGGGAGTCCAGAAATAAACCCATATATCTATGGTCAACTGATTTTTCACAAGGGTGCCAAGATGATTCAACGGAAAAAGAATAGTCTCTTCAGCAAACGATGTTGGTACAACTAAATATTCACATTGAAAAGAATGAAGTTTGACCTTTAGCTCACACCACATACAAAAAGTAACTCACAATGGATCAAAGACCTAAATGTAACTGCTAAAAGTATAAAACTCATAGAAAGAAACATCAAAGTAAATCTTCATGATTTTGGATTTGCCAATGGTTTCTTAGATATGACACTAAAAGCACAAAAAACAAAGAAATAAACCACATCAAAATTAAACATTTTTGTGCATCAAAGGGCATTATCAAGAGAGTGAGTCTTCCAAGGCAATAGAAGAAAAAGCAAAAATAAACAAATGGGACCTAACCAAACTTAGAAGCTTTTGCACAGCAAAGGAAACCATAAACAAAATGAGAAGACAATCTATGAACTGGGAGAAAGAATTTGCAAATGATGTGACTGACAAGGGCTTAACTTCCAAAATATACAAACAGTTCATACAACTTAATCACAAAAAAACCAAACAACCCAATCAAAACATGAACAGAAGACCTAAATAGACATTTCTCCAAAGAAGACACACAGATGGTGAGAAGGCACATGAAAAGATATTTAACATCGCTAATCATCAGGGAAAAGCAAATCAAAACCACAATGAAGTACCACCTCACACCAGTCAGAATGGCCATTATTAAAAAGCCTACAAATAACAAATGCTGGAGAAGGTGTAGAGAAAAGGAAACCCTCCTACACTGTTGATGGGAATGCAAATTGGTGCAGCCACTATAGAAAACATGGAAGTTCCTTAAAAAAATAAAAATAGAGTTGTCATATGACCCAGCAATTCCACTCCTGGGCATATATCCAGAGAAAACTAATTTGAAAAGATACATGCACCCCAATGTTCATAGCAGCACTATTTACAAATGCCAAGACATGGAAGCAACCTAAATATCCATTGACAGATGAATGGATAAAGAATATTTAGTCTATACAGTGGAATACTACTCATCTATAACAAAGAATGAAATAATGCCACTTGCAGCAACATGGATGGACCTAGAGATTACCAAACTAAGTGAAGTAAGTCGGAAAGAGAAAGACAAATACTATCTGATACCACTTATATGTGGAATCTAAAATATAACACAAATGAACTATTTACAAGACAGAAACAGACTCACAAACATAGAAAACAAACTTATGGTTACCAAAGGAAAAAGTGAGGGAGGAATAAATTAGGAGTTTGGGATTAACAGGTACAAAATACTATATATAAAATAAATAAACAAGGTCCTACTGTATAGCACAGAAAACTATATTCAATATCCTGTAATAAATTATAATAGAAAAGAATATGAAAAATATGTAATATATGTGTAACTGAATCACCTTGCTGTACACCAGAAACTAACACAAACTTGTAAATCAACTATACTTCAATAAAAAAGAGTTAAAAGACAACCCAAAAATGAGAAAAATGTTTGCAATCAGATTATCTGATAATTATCTAGTACCCAGAATGTATAAAGAACACTTACAGTTCAACAACTCAATTAAAAGATGGGCAAAGGACTTGAAAAGACATTTTTTCAAAGAAGACATACAAATGTCCATTAACGGATGAATGGCTAAACAAAAAGTGATATATTCATACAATGAAATATTCAGCCTTTAAAGGGAATGAAATACAGACAGAGGCTACAACATGAAAACATTATGCTAAGTGAAAAAAGCCAGACACAAAAGGTCACATATTGTATGATTCTACTTATACAGTGTATCAAAAAATAGGCAAATATATACAGAAGGCAAATTAGTGGTTGCTTATGAAAGGGAAAATGGGGGATTGGGAAGAGGGCAATATCTAAAAGATACAGGGTTCCTTTTTGATGATGAAAATGTTCTAAAAATTTAACTGACGGTGGTCGGACTTACCTGTGGTTGGACTTATCTGTTATGATACTAAAAAAAAAACATTGAAAAGTACACTTTATATGAGTGAATTGTGTGGTATGTGAATTATATCTCAATAAAGCTGTTTTAAGTAGAGAAAGGATTCACCAATATCAACGAGAGCTGAAGACATGCAAACTTTATGACCCAGCAATCCTAGCCGTAGGTATATATTTGACAGAAAATTACACACATGTTCATCCAAAGTCAAGGGCAAGAATGGTCATAGTAGTACCATTAAAAATAGACCTAAAGTGGAAACTGAAATGCTCATCATCAGTAGAATGGATAAATTGTGATATATTCAAATAATGAAATGTACGTAACAATGAAAAGGAACAAACTACAACTACATACACCAATATGAATCTCAAAAAACACAAAACTGAGCAAAAGAAGCCAGATTCAAAATAGCACTTATTGTATGATTCCATTTATATAAAGTTCAACACTCGGTGAGCCTAATCTGTGAAATTAGAAGTCAGGATACTGTTTACTGCTGAGGGTAAATGACTGTAAAGGGAGAACAAATTGGCTTTTGTGGGGCTAATGTTCTATTTCTTGATTTGGGTGTTGGTTAGACATATGTGTTCCTTTTTTTGAAAATTCATCAGGTTTTACACTTATAATTTGTGTATTTTTATGTCTTTATGTTATATTCTAATAAAAAACTTAAGATTTTCAGAATATCTTTGAAAACAGGCTTTTAAGTCCTAAGACGATTGCTCCTATTTTTGTGATCACTTCTTGATACTCTTCCATTTTTTTCATTGTATGGTTATTACTCTATTTTTCAATCTTTTTTTTTTTTCTAAGAGCAAGCCATTGCTTGCCCATATTAAGCCTTAATACAAAGTAGAAGTGACCTCTCTTCAAGACACTTCATTTCCTATTGTCTGAAAATTGTGGAGCGGATTTTGTAACAACAAGGCACTTTACTGCCATCTACTGGTACATTGCCACAGCAAAGCAATACATTACAATGTCTACCAGTGAGTGGTACCGCTTAGATGTGACATGCTCCTGCAAGAAACAACTTTCCTATCTAAATGTAATAACCTAACCATTTGGCACTTCATTGACAAACCCTGCAGATAGTAGAGTGCTGACACTCAATACGTTTTTCTTTTTTTCCTGTCTGATGTTATTCTTAAAGACAGGGAAAAGTATTCACTATTAGTTGTATCACTGCAAAGATTAAGCTTATTTGGACAAACATATGAAAGTAGAAGTTCAATAAATACCAATCAAATTCTTTACATCAAAGAATAATTGATTTGCTTTTTCTTTACCTAAGTCTGAATCCAGAACAATCCTGGATGTCTTAGGACTACTTTTCTAGCTCAAAACATTCTGTGAAACAGCCGATAACCTTTTCAGAAGCCTCCATTAATGTGCTGATTGTTTAGGCCATCAGAGGTGCAAGGCACTCTCCTAAACATTTTATATCTACTAATTCATTTAATCCTCTAATCCCCATCTGTACAGTACCCATTATCTGCACCTTACAGATGAGGCAACTGTAGCACAAAAATTTAAGTTATATAACAAGGAATGATATTTCAAAAATACTTTCTTTGGGGAGCTTATAGTCTATTAGGAATACAAAACAAAAGGAAAAGCATGTAAGGATTAAAAAAGAAGAAACTAGAGGAGAAAATGCTTTGAACCCTATAGGACAAGTCATTTTTCTCCTTTCGGTCCCAGTTTCCTCATCTGCATAACAAGAAGTTTGGACTTATCCAAGGATACATAGCTAATAAATGGCAGAGCTAGAATCTGAACTTGAGAATTTTGGCTTCAGAGCTCAGTCTTGTAATCACTGTACTATACTTACTGCCAGTTCATGGCCTGTTTCTGTTCTTTGCTGCCTTCCTGTGGGCAACAAATATCTATGTTACCTATGCTCCTGCTACTTTCACCTATGGGATATGTAGGTGCCCAAGTGGGCTCCTGACTGCAACTCCCTGCATTCTTGCCAATCCCAGGAAAACCTCTAACCTTTGATTTAAGGACAGGGATAACAAGGTTAAAAAAATGAAGATATTGGCTTAGGTTCTGGTATATATTTTCTAACTATGGTAAAATTATATAACATAAAATTTGCCATTTTAACTATTTTTAAGTGTATAGCTCTGTGGCATTATTGTGCAACCATTACCACTATCCATCTCCAGAACATTTTTTTATCTTCCCCAACTGAAACTCTGTACCCCTGAAATAGTAACCATCCATTACTCCCTCTCTTCAGTACTTGGCAATCAGTATTCTACTTTCTGTCTCTATGAATTGACTACTCTAGGAACCTAATATAAGAGGAATCATATAGTATTTGTCCTTTTGTGACTGGCTTATTTCACTTAGCATAGTATCTTCA